AAAAAAAAGAAAGAGAAGAAAAAGCTTTCTTTTCGTAGATTAATAATTTTTAATTTATATATATAAATTAAAGGTACATATGAGGTACAGGAATGTCACAAGAAGAATATCAATATTTTGGAAAACATATCGCTTATTACCCGTATTTGCGTGCTCACCGATGTTGAAATTATCCCCTTGGTTAGCGAACATCGTCGGTGGTGCAAAACGACGCCGGTGGGTATGATTTAGGTGGAATAGCAGGACCATTCTTTCGGGAGGATAATTCGCCGGGCGGTTCGTCCGGCGGTTCATTCATAATGCACAGCCATTTATAATGTATGTATGTATGTAGGAACGATGCATGCAGGTATAATTACAACTCCGGCCCTCTATGCTGCTCATCCCGCACGGCGTCCCATCTATCCCACCCTCATTCGAGTAAACCGACGCTCTTTCCTAGGGGTCTGACCGCGTTGCGGGTCATCTTTCTATGCCTTGTCGGCCGTTCGCCAGACAGCCATCCTAACTGCGTCGCCGTGCAGATCGCGCTAACGAGCGTTTGCTATATCTTGGCTCGCTTTACCGATTAATAGTCGGGTTTTAATGGATTCTCCGATGACGCATTACGAAGCTCACGTTTTATTTTGCTATCAGTTAAAAAAAAAACTTTTTTTTGTAGAAATAATAAAATGACACTGCCCGTAATAAATTAAAACTTTAAGTAAAATAACATTTACTGAATATGAATTTTCTTCATTATTTAACTTTAACTAATTTAATATTATAATTATATAATATGTATAAGATCTATTCTTTAGATATTTAATTTGATTTTCTTTATCATTTTTGACATTTAAAATTTTTAAAAATTTTTGCAAACTTGAGATAAAATACAATTTAACTAATCTTTATATTTTTAGGTGATATGATCAGCGAGTTGGTTTATTAAATTTTACCGAATGATTTCAAGATGCATTGGATTTCCGTTAAACACTCCTCTTATTGATTACAAGCTAAAAAAGGAACATAAGACATCTTATCAAGAAAGATGTTTTAGTCTGCCATCTTCCTGCTCTTTCGAATATCTCTCTCTATCTATTCGCAGGGCAAAGCGTACAAGCTTCGTAGAAACGACCGGGATAGCAAGGTAGAAAGCGAAGGACGGGGAATGACGGAAAATCCAAATTGCCACACAAAGCTCTCGCGCAATCAGGTTCCCGGTAATCCTCGCGCCTTCAAGTACTTCGGCACGATCGCGAAAGCCAATTATGTGGCTGACGTACGTACAGGTGTGGCTTTAAAGCGGCTAGACAACCGGCGGATACGAGAGTACATAGGCACGAAAAGTGCATTCCGACGGAGCGCGGAATTACTCGATTAGAGTTAATTCGAATTATGCTACAGTTCGTTATCAAAATCGCTAATTGTTAATTGCTGCGCGCCGGTCTCGCACGCATACGTACATGGGACGCGTCGCGAAGAGCGAGAGACACGTTCTGTCGCCACGATAAAAAGCGCAACAACTTCGAGCGCAGGATTGAAGTCACAAAATCCGTCCAGAATTCGCATCGCGCGGACAATCGACGACTTGCTTCCCGAACGTTTATCTCGATCGCGGCTTCAAATCCTTCGGATATCTCAATATTTTCTCCATCAGACTGCACTGACGATCGTCGTCGAAAACACAACAACTGCATCTCGCGGGAAAATATCTTCAGCCAATTCTCATCCTTCTCTCCGCTATTTCGGTGTGAGGAAACAGCAAGACGCATGTCCTCGGCGGGATACACCCCGCGTTTCTCGATCTTCCGCCTTCTCGTGTGCTCCTGCGGTCGACTCTTGCCGCTGATAAATTGCGGGCGGCGAGAGTGTGGAAATTGCATACGTCGTTGCAACGCGCGTCCCCGGTGTGCAGTAATCGTCCTGGATGTGCGCGCGACGCTCGAGGGTAAAGGAGAGGAGAAAGCGAAAAGAATAGGAGAGTAGGCAAAGGAGAAAGTATACCCATTACGGTACGAATGTCCAGACCGAGAATCCTCTCAGGATGGGTTCTCGTTAGTCCTACGTGGCAGACTTACGGCACCCAGGACTCGTCCCGCCTCGGCCACCCATCATGGCTTCGGAACGAGATGTACCAGCGAGGCAAGAGCGTTAGTTTCCTTCCTCTCAAATTACGCTCGTGGACTTTCCGCCAAGTAGAATCAGTCTCCTCGAGAACATATCCAGCCATGTACGCGTATACATGTTACATATAACATAGAAATTAATTATTAAATCATCGGAACAGTTGATAATCCAATCTAAAAAAAAACAGCATAAATTGCATGATTATTTAGTTAACATGACAAATTTCTATTTGATTGCACAGTAGAAAACAAAAATTCCTCCGCAAATATTCGACTTGTCAATGCTTACAGATCTCGATAAATTGATAGAGACTATTGGTAACGTAATTCCGCTCTCTCTAAATGTGAAAGCTGTTTTTTCTACTTACTATTAAAAATTTTTATTTATTTGACTCGTGAGATAATAAATCCTTTTGAAAAAATGATCTAAAATCGGCACTAAATATCACGTTATCATTTTGATTGTCCTCTATGTTCGTTGCTCGCTGCTTGACAAAGTGGAAAATACATCCTCGATGATTCTCAGCTTTCCCTCGGCACATTTTTAG